CTTATAATGATCTATGTTCAGACTATATATTTGTCCCAAGATAATACGTTGACTGACTCTTCTTATCCACTGACTTAAGATCTAATGCAAATTGTTGTTGTTGAAGATATTCACATATTGTCTCTACACAACAGTTAATTTGTGTTAGACTACCCTGAAGTTCAGGCAGAGGAAGACTCAGGGTGGGGGTTCCATTTCAGGTGTGCTTCGGCCCGATCTAGCCCCCAGATGCTACCTGGAATGAGACAAAAAGTGCCAGATGAAATAGAAAGAGATAAGGGAGACCGAAAGAAGGGATGAAGGTTCGGGGGGATGAAGTAAGGCGCCGTGCTGGTGGCTGCCTGTTGCATGCAGCTCCCGGTGTTTTATTGTTCTTTGTCTTTTTGTTTACTTTTATTCTCTTAGTTGTACTTTTTTCTTTGGATATTTATTTTGTTTTGCAGCGAACTATGGCCACGTTTTACTTCGAACGTTTTCTGGTCATTCTTCTGCTACTTTTTTCACTTTTTGTGTCGGAGAGCCATGCTCAGAGGAGTGATGGCATTGTTTACACGCGTGAGCAGCTGATTGCGCTGTGCCGACCCGTGCTGCTGCCCGGAGCCAGGCATGACATCCCGGAGGAGCTTCGGAGGCTCAAGCGTGGCTGCAGAGCTGGGGCCAAGCTGAGGATGAAGAAGAAGATGAGGTACAAACCCTGTGTACCGGCCATCATAATGGGTAACGTGAGGTCTTTGGGGAATAAGATGGACGAGCTCCGCGTGCTGACGAAGACGCAGTGGGAATACCGTGAGTGTAGCATCATGTGTTTTACCGAGACTTGGTTGCACTCGCTCATCCCGGATAATAACACGGCTCTCCCCGGCTTCACGAGTGTTCGGGCGGACAGGGACGTTATTCTGAGCGGTAAAAAGAAAGGAGGAGGGATTGCACTGTATGTGAACGAACGATGGTGTAATCCTGGACATGTTACTGTGAAGGAGCGTTTCTGTAGCCCGGACATTGAACTGCTAGCTGTGGGATTACGTCCATTTTATCTACCTAGAGAACTTTATTCTGTCATCGTAGTTGCTGTCTATATTCCACCGAACGCGGACGCGGAGGTGGCTGGTGACGTCATTCACTCTTCTGTGGCCAAACTCCAAACTCTTCACCCAAATGCATTCATAACAATAACTGGGGATTTTAACCGTGCAAAACTGGACAAATCTCTGCCTACATTCACTCAGTATGTGAAATGCCCCACCAGGGGAAATAATACTCTGGATCTTCTATATGCAAATACCAAGAATGCATATTGTGCCACTGCCCTCCCCCCCCTGGGCAGATCTGACCACAACCTCGTCTTTTTGGCTCCTAAATATGTCCCACTGGTGCAGAGGCAGCCTGTATCCACCAGGACTGTGAGGAAATGGACTCCAGGGGCTAATGAGGCTCTACAGGACTGCTTCGAGACCACTGACTGGGACGTGCTTTGTGTGCCACATGGAGAGGACATCAATAATATGACTGACTGCATCACAGAATACATCAACTTCTGTGAACAAACAATATTACCGGCTAAAACTGTCAACTGTTTCCCCAATAATAAACCCTGGATTACTAGTGACCTGAAAACTCTTTTAAATAAGAAAAAGGAAGCTTATAAGTCTGGGGACAAATCAATGCTGAAGAGTGTCCAGCATCAACTGAGAGACAATTTGAGGAGGGGCAGAGATTCGTACAGGAAGAAGCTGGAGACTAAGCTCCAGCTGAACAATAGCAGGGATGTCTGGGCTGGGATGAAGGCTATCACTGGCTTCAAAGGGAGAGACAGACTGACTGTGGGCACCCTGGAGAGGGCCAACGAGCTGAACACCTTCAATAGGTTTAGCTCTCCGCCCGCTGCTGTCTCCTCCACTTCCTCTTCTCACCTCACCTCCTCCTCTCAGCCTGGCGTCAACATCCCCCCTCTGCTCACCACCTACACTTCACACCTCTCCTCCACCACCCAGCCTGGCTTCTGCACCCCCCCTCTGCTCACATTGCCCCTGACCCCCCCCCCCCCCTCTGCTCATCTTGCCTCAGACCCCCCCCCCTCTATCCCCCCTTCCATCTAGCCCCCCCCCCCCGCTTCACTGTGAGCACAGGACAGGTCCAGAGTCAGATGGAAAAACTCCACCAAGGCAAGGCTGCTGGCCCTGATGGTATCAGCCCCAGGGTCCTGAGGACCTGTGCACGCCAGCTGGCTCCTGTTCTCCAGTATATATTCAACCTGAGCCTGCACTTGGAGACCATCCCGGTGCTGTGGAAGACATCATGCGTTGTTCCGGTCCCTAAAAAGACAACTCCTTCTGGGCTCAATGACTATCGCCCTGTAGCACTCACATCTCATGTGATGAAGGTGCTTGAGAGACTGGTCTTGGCCCATCTCAGACCGCAGGTGAGATCATTCCTTGACCCTCTGCAATTTGCCTACCAGCCTCACCTGGGGGTGGACGATGCCATTATTTACCTGCTGCAGCGTGCTCACTCATACCTGAATGGATCGGGTTGCACTGTGAGAATCACCTTTTTTGATTTCTCCAGTGCATTCAACACGATCCAGCCTCGGCTACTGAGTGACAAGCTGCAGGCTATGAGGGTAAACTCGTCCACCATCTCCTGGATTACCAACTACCTCACGGACAGACCACAGTACGTCCGGTTGGGCAGTGTGCTGTCTGATGTGGTGGTTGGTAGTATTGGAGCCCCACAGGGGACTGTGCTGTCTCCTTTCCTGTTCACCTTATACACCTCTGACTTTCTATACAACTCAGAGTCATGCCACCTGCAGAAGTTTTCGGATGACTCTGCAGTGGTAGGGTGTATAAGGGATGGACGGGAGGAGGAGTACAGAGCGCTGGTGGGTGATTTTGTTGAGTGGACTGGAAGAAATCATCTGCTTTTGAATGTGGCCAAGACCAGAGAGATGGTCATTGATTTCAGGAGGAAGAGGACATCTCCTCCTCTGCCCCTGTGCATTCTGGGAGAGGATGTGGCAGTTGTGGAGGTCTACAAGTACCTGGGAGTGCACTTAGACAATGGGCTGAACTGGAGGATCAACACTGACGCTGTGTACAAGAAGGGGATGAGCAGACTCTATTTTCTGAGGAAGCTGAGATCCTTCAACGTATGCAGTAAGATGCTGGAGATCTTCTATCAGTCTGTTGTGGCTAGTGCACTCTTCTTTGCTGCGGTCTGCTGGGGGGGCAGCATCAGAGCCGGTGACACCTGCAGGATCAATAAACTGATCAGGAAAGCTGGGTCAGTCATCGGCATCAAGCTGGAACCCTTTGAAGCTGTGGTGGAGAGGAGGACACTGAACAGGCTGTTGTCCATCATGGATAACCCCACCCATCCTCTCCACCTACAGCTGGACAGTCAACGGAGCTCCTTCTCCAACAGACTGCTGCAGCTCCCCTGTCTCAAGGACAGATACTGGAAAACATTCCTGCCCACTGCAATAACACTGTACAACAAATCACCTCTGGCTGGAAGAGAACTCTCTGCTCCATAGTTTCTCTAGAAATAAAACCACCTTGTACATTTTACTCATACATAATCTGTTTCATATTTAATACTCCATAATTCCATATATTTTGAATATATATATATTTGTATATTTGTATATATATATATATATATATATATAATATCTGTATGTATATTTTCTATTTTGTATTTTGACATGTATATTTTATATTTTATTTTATATTTTATTTTATTTTATTTCTATTCTTGTATATTTTGTTTTATTGTAAAATGCCTTTTATGCTGCTGTAACAAAAACAATTTCCCAATTTGGGATCAATAAAGTACGATCTATCTATCTATCTATGAAGGGATGTAGCGATGTGGAAAATGATGGGGTAGGAAGGGGAATAGATTAATTGAATTGAGAAGGGGAGGGTGGGTCTTAAAATTGAGAGACTTATGCCCCTTTCACACCAACGCGGTTCCAGGGCCGGTTCGGAGCTGGAGCCTGAAAAGCACCGGTTTTTCCTGTTCACACCGCAGCGGAGCCGCCTCTAAGCTCCGGAATCCAGTTCGTTTCAAGCACCAAAAAGTTGTCGGTCTAGAAAGCAAGCACCGCATACATCACGCTTACGTCGGAGGCGGGGGCAGGGGCATCAGTTTTAATGTTATACCATAGTAATGAATGCTGCAAAGCTGGGTATTTTGAGCTTGGCGCATGCAGAGGCTAACAACAGCTAGCTCTAACGCGATCGAATAGGACGTATATGTACCTTCTTTCTCCTACGGAATCGTCGTTGAAGTTGATGATGATGATTGTAAAGAACTTTTGAATGTAGCATGTAACGACTGTAAAGTTGGTAGTAAAGTCGTCCCATTTCTTCCATTTCGTTTCGACAGAGCAAAACCAAAACGAGTAGCGCTTCAATACAATCGGTCGTTGTTGTTGTTGTCGATGTGAGGGGTTTCCGCATGGTTTGGCTTTATGAAGCAGGCACGCAAACGGTTACGTCATGACGCAAACGATAACGCAATGACGCAGCACCAGTCGGGCTCTGAGCGGTGTGAACAGAGCGGGAGCTGAACCGAAGAACCGGTTCCGAACCAGAAAAGCTCTAGCACGGAGCTAGAACGGAAAAAGCCTTGGTGTGAAAGGGGTAAAAGAAGGCCGGATTAGAGGTGTGGTTCAGGTTTGGCTCTACCCCCGAACCTTTTTGCTAATTCACTTCATTTCTTTAACCATGACTGCAAGCTTTCTCTAACTTAAACAAAGAAGTAAAGTCACAAAACCCTGATCAAACCTTCTGATGGCTGATCAGAAAAAAAACTAATATTGTAGTATTAGTAAAACTAGTATCATGTTATTTGAAAGGCAATAATAGATGATGGAAATGCATATATATTTAGACATTTCTCTATCTACTGAGACTACTCCAAGTTTCTTAAACTGAAGTAATTACATTTCTGTTATACAACTTTAACTTAGCTTGCTTCTGTTTTCTTCACAGATTTTAGGACACAAAGACCTGACGTCCCCGACGCAGCGATATATAGACAGCAAGGTGGTACGAACACAGACGGAGGGCGAGTGGCTCTCCTTCGATGTGACGGAGGCAGTGAGTGAATGGATGAACCACAGAGGTGAGCACATGTCCCCCCCCATCACATTCCTCATGGTTTACCCCATGTGTTGTTTGGTTGCATCCTCTTACTGTGACTTTTGTTTCTCCACAGACAGAAACAGCGGTTTCAAGATCAGCCTGCACTGTCCATGCTGTACCTTTGTGCCATCAAATAACTACATTATTCCCAACAAGAGTGAGGAGCTGGAAGCACGCTTTGCAGGTAAGGAGAACCAGAAAATGTTTAAGTCAGGATAAGTCTGGTGTTATTCCAAATTGAATGAATTTCAACAACTCTGATGAAAACACAAGCATTGTGTTGTTTATATTGTAATACTATCTGATTTCCCTATACCCTATCCATTAAAATGTATAAAACCAATGCATTTATACATAATTTGCTAAAAAGAGCACAAGGTTCTTCATAGAATTTTGCTTAATTTTTCTGTCAAATTGCACAGAATTTATGCATTTAACTCTTAAATGTACACATGTATCTTCTAGTAGAGCATGCTACAGTATAGGGACCCCCCAGAGGGTTTGAGGTGTAGGCACCAAAGTTTCACTATATCCTGTAAGAGCCACGGGGTTAAGCCAAAGTCGGACTGGCAATCAATATCACTGGTGGGCTGACCCCATCCCCCAATAACTTCCTTTGAAGCTAATTTGTGCCTTAGATGCAGCTTATTGGTCTCTGTTATGTTTCCAGGTATTGATGACAGCTTCGTCCATAGTGCAGCGGTGCCTAAGCACAGATCCCGGGCTCCACACCTCCTGCTCATGCTGCTGCCTTCATACCGGCTGGAGTCACATTCCCACCAAACCAACCATCGAGCCAAGAGAGCTCTGGATGCTGCCTATTGCTCCAGGTACTAACCCGGAATAAGGGTTACTTTAAAAATATATTCCGTTAAAATGACCAGTCACCTGTAAAGTAAGTCTATAAACAAATAATTTAACACGTGAGCACATTTTACTGTTTAAAAAAAAGGAAAATGCTCCGTTTTAGTTTAATACACTCAGTTAAGCTCACACACACTATTTTATGAACATATAGGTTCACCTAGTGAATTAAAAACAGAACAAATGAACCAAAGGGGGAGGGAGGGGAGAGAGGGGCGAGAGTTCAGCCTCCTGACAGCCTGGTGTAAAAAACTGTTCTTTAGTCTAGTTGTGTTCGACCTCAGGCTGCGGAACCTCCTCCCTGAAGGCAGGAGGGTGAAGAGGCAGTTGGAGGGATGGAAGGGTTCACCCAGAATGCTGAGTGCTCTGCGGGTGAGGTGGATGTTGTATATGTCCAGGAGTGATGGGAGTGAGGCAGTGTTGTAGTCAAGTCACCAATTCACGAGTCCAAGTCACTCTCGAGTCACCACTCTTCGAGTCCGAGTCCAAGTCCGAGTCACCAAGGGAGAGTCGTAGTCGAGTCCGAGTCCAAGTCCGAGTCACCCAAGGAGTGTCCGAGTCGAGTCCGAGTCCGAGTCATCATTACCTGTGTTCGAGTCCGAGTCCAAGTCCGAGTCACCCAAGGAGTGTCCGAGTCGAGTCCGAGTCCGAGTCATCATTACCTGTGTTCGAGTCCGAGTCCAAGTCCGAGTCACCTAAGAAGAGTCCAAGTCAAGTCCGAGTCACAAGTCTTCATGTATTAATCTTCATGGATATATGTGTTGAAATGTAGCTGCTCCTCTACATTGCTTTTATCCTGTCATGTTATACTAATCTGTCTATTGAACTGCTGTAAAGCGAGTTTGGCTACAATTCTTGTAATAGGTGCTATACAAATATAAAGCTTATTACTAATATTAATATTATTATTATTATTATATATAAATAAACTATGTTTAAAATGAGTTACCTTTTAGAGAAGTGATTATATTTGTATGCCAATATTTTCCTATGGTAAAGTTTTCGTTTTGCACTTTTATTTTGAAAGTAATAAGATCGGGACTCTTATTTTGAAGGAACTTTTACCGGTTAAATCGGTTTACTGATAAAGATTTAGCCCCAGAAAGCACATGGCTACTTAGCATGCAAAATGACGTCATTCTGCATGTTAAGTAGCCGTGTGCTTTCGTGTTATCGGCTGAATCTTTATGTATTGATTAGATCACGTTACTCTGATGATAGTTTTCATATATGTCTGAACTCGATGTTTAGAGTAATGTGTTCCGGAGCCTTCTCTTCAATATTGTTTCCACATAGAGCATTTTGCGCTGCTCTTTTCCAATGTGGAAGCAGAATGTGTGAAAGCATACAGCACGATGCGGGGTGTGTCTCTAGACATCTTTAGACTGGAATAGCGGGGCCCAGTACGTGAACTCGCCTCGCGGCCGGTGCACACGCCAGGATAGAGGACATCAGACTCCATAGAAAACTTGCTCGAGTCCGAGTCCGAGTCCAAGTCGGAGCGTCAATGTACAAGTCGAGTCCGAGTCATCGTGGGGGGGAAAATTCATGAGTCCGAGTCCGAGTCCAAGTCAGCGTACGCGATAATTCACGAGTCCGAGTCCGAGTCCAAGTCATCGTGTGCGAGAATTCACGAGTCCAAGTCCGAGTCGCGTCAATCAGTGCGCGAGTCCGAGTCGAGTCACGAGTCCCGAAAATCGGCACTCGAGTCCGAATCCAGGACTCGAGTACTCCATCTCTGGAGTGAGGCAACATGCTTGACCATGTCAATGGGGAGAAAATGCAGCCTGAACACATGTTGTAACATGATTTCAGCAGTTTCCTTGGCAGTAGGTCATCTGGTTAATGGAATAAGCAGGGTAGACTTTGAAAATGACGGTGAGTATGACTGTGTTACCGTCTGAGGGTGGTTGACCAGTGACAAAATCCAAGGAGATGTGGGACCAGGGGCGCTGAGGAATAGGCAAGGGATGAAGAAGGCCGGAGGGAGCTTGAACTGGCGAGACATAGCGTCAGGTTTGATGTTCTTAGATTCTCGGTTCCCAATGTCATAACTTATTTCTGCTGTGGACAGCTTTCAAGAGATGAAGGCACACAGGTGAACTTTCTGATCCTCGGCTGACCGTTGAGAAAGAACTACCCCAATTCCAGTGTCCGAGGCATCTACCTCCACAATAAACTGGCGAGTAGGATCTGGAAATATCAGAATAGGAGCAGAGGTGAAGCGTGATTTCAATTCACCAAAAGCCCCTTCAGCCACAGTGGTGAGGGCTGTGAGAGGGGCTGCCACCAAACTGCAGTTTCGGATGAACCTTCGGTAGAAGTTGGCAAAACCCAGAAAGCGTTGGAGCACCTTGCGTGTTGAAGGGTGCGGCCAGTCAGTCACCACCTTGGTCTTGTCAGGGTCCTTCTTGATGTTTCCGGTGGTGACCACAAAACCCAGGAAAGAAACTTCTGTGGTGTGGAACACACACTTCTCAGCTTTGACGAACAGGTGGTTTTCCAAGAGCCTCTGGAGGACTAGGCGTACATGGACCACATGCTCCTGTTAGGACTTGGAGAAAATCAAAATGTCATCCAGGTACACAAAAACATAGATATTGAGCAGATCCCGAAGAACATCATTCACCAACCCCTGGAAGACTGCAGGTGCATTGGTAAGTCCAAAAGGCATGACCAAATACTCATAATGTCCACTAGGAGTATTAAAGGCCGTCTTCCACTCGTCCCCCCCTGATTCTCACCAAATGGTAAGCGTTACGTAGGTCCAGCTTGGTCAAAATAGTAGCACCTTGTAACAATTCAAATGCAGAGGAAACAAGTGGAAGGGGGTACCTGTTCTTGACAGTGATGTTATTGAGTCGTCTGTAGTCGATGCATGGGCGCAGAGACTTATCCTTCTACCCATGAAGAAAAATCCTGCTCCACATTGACACAAAAAAACTAAAACCTGACTATGAATGGAGGACCCTTTGTATAAACGTTATCTATTGTATCCCCTCTAAACATTTTACACATACTGCACCCTGTTTGAACTCTCCTCTGATCTCTTTGCAGAAACGTTCAGGACAACTGCTGCTTACGCTCTCTCTACATCGACTTTAAGAAGGACCTCGGCTGGAGGTGGATCCACGAGCCAAAGGGCTACGAGGCCAACTTCTGTGCCGGGGCCTGTCCCTATCTGTGGAGCGCCGACACCCAGCATTCCAAGGTACTGAGGGACAGGTCGACCATTTAACTATCTATGGGGTCAGGTCGTTTTCCTTTACTTAATTTCTTTATGAAACATCTCTAAATGTTGTGTCTTTAGGTGTTAGGCCTGTATAACACGATCAACCCTGAAGCTTCGGCATCGCCCTGCTGCGTATCCCAGGACCTGGAGCCCCTCACTATCCTCTACTACATCGGCAAGACCCCCAAAATAGAGCAGCTCTCCAACATGAAGGTCAAGTCCTGCAAATGCAGCTGAAAGAACTTACAAAGCAGCAGCACACACACACACACACACACACACACACACACACACACACACACACACACACACACACACACACACACACACACACACACACACACACACACACACACACACACACACACACACACACACACACACACAGTGGATTTGGATATACATGCAGTCCAACTGGACTATTTGCTTGGTTTGCTGGAGTATGGTGGTACAGAACAATTCAATGCGAGCACAACAAAGAGGAACAGTGTTATACCAGAAACTTGACTTATATACCAATGCTGTACAAGTACAATTGAGCTTTACATTATTTCATAGTAACATTTATTTGTACAACTAACACATAAAATGATGAAGGCACTTGCAAACGACAAGCTATTACCCCTGCTACCCAAGCATCAAAAGGCTTTTTATACATATTGAACCTACTTCTCCCAGAAGAGTGCCAATGCAGGTATTTGCTCGTACATGAGTCTGACATTGCATGAATTAGTTTGTTCTTATGTGGCCAAGCAAACCAAACAAAAAGTATAACTGCCCTTATATTTTATTTGTGCAGCTTAAACCATGAACTAATGCAAGAGAGGCTTTGAGGACTTTCACTGCTGTCTTGGTTGCTAACTAAATATTGGTTTCAAAAGATTTGACTGTATTGAATAAAACCTAACTGATGAATCGGACAGTATGAGCTTATCACAGACTAATAACGATAACTGTCTTAAAGAGGCCTTATTCTGCTTTTCGGTTTTTCCCTTTCCTGTAGTGTGTTCTAAAGGTTTTTATGCATGTAAATGGTCTGCAAAGACTACAATCCCTGTGTTCCCTCCAGAGGGAGTTTCTCTCCCACACACTCCCCCCTGCCTGAAACGCCTCAATTGGAGTCCTTTGTTTACTTCAGTATCATAATGACATCACTATGTAACTCACGTTCTATTGGCTAGCACTCCAATACATTGTACGTGATAGGCTAAGGGGTGGGACATCTCTAAGCGGTTTACAAATCACAAAAGAGTCGGCCAGCTAACCAATCAGAGCAGACTGGGCTCTGGTTTCAGACAGAGGGTGAAAAGAGGTGCTGCAGCACAGGCAGTATGAGAGCAATAAAGAGCTTTTTGAACATTAAAGCATGGAGACATGTCCCAGTAGAGACACAACAATTGTCCTCTTATAACGTTCCCTGCTAATACAATTTCAGCTGGCAGAACACATTTGATAACAAAACGGGATGTTTTAAAAAATAATCTTTAGCAGTTGTATAAAAGTCATGCAAATATGTTTGTATTGTGACCCCACTGCACAGGACCCATATAAGCCACACACACACACACACACACACACACACACACACACACACACACACACACACACACACACACACACACACACACACACACACACACACACACACACACACACACACACACACACACACACACACACACACACACACACACACACACAGTATGTCAATATCCCTTTTTGCATTTTGAAGGCCCTGTCACTATGCATCACCTCACACGATTGTCACACCGAGAGTAAGGCAAACACTGGAAATATAAGTGATCTATATGTGAAATAAGTCCTGAAATGTACCCAGCCCCACCACTAACACCCCCCACCCCATCAGCCCTCCACAGTATTCACAGTCACACCATACCGTGTCCTCATTTCTGTGTTTGTCTATCCTTTTGGTATCCTTTGGAGTTTTATAAATCTTGTCATTTTGTTTGCTATTTAAAATAAATCTGTTTATAATTTAGCACCCTGAAGAGTTTGACCCAGTCGATAATTGGAATCAACCTCAAACTGATGATGTACATATATGTATGTATAATATCTACTTCATTTTGTGATTTAAAGATGTTGGGAAAGGATTATGTTGAATAATGCATGAGCCACCATTAGAGAATTACATGGAAGCTCTTTGAAGGATAATTCCGGTTTATTATAACAATGGTCTAATTTTTGCAGTTAGACATCATTTCCATTTAAACATTAGAAATCAGCGAAACCTGATTTCTTTGTTGGCCGCAGAGTTAGTGAAGGAGTCGAATATATTTGTCACAATGGGATTTACTGTCCTGACCCTAACCCTCACTTCAGATAAAGATGAAGATGACATAAGGCTGTGTGTCCACAGAGTGTGTTTACTGACAGAAAGGTGCTAGGGAACGCTTCAGAGCAGCATCTTATCTTCCTATTGCAACAATTTATTAATCACCCCCTTGTATGACAGACTAGTATCGCCCCATTGTCTTTCATCATATTTTTGTGCTACTATCTATTTGTTTGACATTGTTAAGTCACCATAGTCACCAACCAAAGGAAGTCATTCCAAAAGCTTTAAAGCGGGAATGATGATATCTGTTGTAAACAGTGCTCACACGCCTTAAGGGACCAACCAAGATTGAATCCTTCACAGTAAAATGATCTCTCGGGAGTTTTTGTAAACAAATAAATAAACGGTTGTTTAGCTTTGAAGACAGTTAAAGGACGTCAAGGGTACGGCTGTTTTTTTACACAGTATACAGACCCACTTTGAACTGGACCCACGACAGTGTTCAGTGTGTATTTTCACAGTGCATTGAGAGAGTATTATTGATATTTTAGCAGTGCTCACTTTCATTTTAACCCCTAAATGAAGTGATTTAAATAATTTGGAAATAGATTGCCTGTTTCGGCATGTTTAAAGTAGTAACCGTGTTCCCAGATATCTACAACTAGAATATAAAAATATATACAGCGTAGAAGTATGCAAGTAGCCTGATCCTGACATTTCATCATTTGGTGTCCGGATTTTTCATTAATTGTGTGCAAGATAGAGTCGTGTCATTTGAGTTCTGATATTGAACAAACCATAACAGATGGAATACGTACATGTGCCCCACAATCAATATATGTTGGAATTCTGAGTAAGTTGAGACAATCAAATCAAACTGTAAACCATCAAAGGAAACGCCAGAAAACCATGCAAACTGCACACAGAAAGCCCACCTGTTTCAAAGAACAGGTGTCCTTCATGTCCCATTTGGTTTGTTTGGCAGAGATTGATATCGAACAATTCGAGACTTTCCCCACATTGAGAACATTTAAAGAAGTGAGGACATTTCCTAAACTTTAGCGGTACAGCGGTGCCCTCTCATGCGCTCAGCACAGCCACAGATGAAGGTTCAGAGACAGAAGTAGCTGATAAAAGGTTAAAAAAGGTATTAATGAAGAGTAGGTATGACATTGAAAAACATATGTATCCAACCGTTGAGAGGCACTGACTGGTTTGTACACTGAAAATACTGAAACATTGTCTTTAATTAAATGTATTGAGTCAACACATTTCACATAACTGAATTAGGTTAGTTTAAAAGCAATAATATTAAGTTTAAATAACAAAAATACGAGGTTCAACTTAATATTATTGCTTTCAACTAACCTAATAGAGTTATGTGAAGTCTATTGACATAATAGATTTAATTAAAGTCAATGCTTCAATTTCTTCAGTGTAGAGTCATTGTGTGTCGTCATACTGTTAATATAACAATTGTATTTCACCCATACATTTGCTGTCTGTCCATCATTATCTTTTTTATTTCTTTAACAAAAAAAAATTGCACTGATGCTGTTTAATTTTCAAAGTATTTAGTGTCCTTAGTTAGTGTGAACCCCCCCCTTTAATGACGGGAGGAGAGTTGACCCCAGCACCCCCCCGTGGACTCGCTGTGCAGCAGAAGACAAGAGAGCTAGGCACCTAGTTTATCACAACAGAGCTGTTATTTGTATGTGTATTTGTTGTTGTTTTGATCATTGATGATGATGTTATTGTGACCCACAAAGCTGTATTGTAACACATTGTTGTTGTGGTGCTCAAGTGGTAAATAAATTATTTAAGTGTCAAGGGAATTTTGTGTTATGTGTGTACTTTCTGAAGCAGATGTGTGTGTAATAAACATCTGGGTCTGCTTGCACCAGAACATGATGACCCAACTGTCCAAAGAACAGATTCAGAGTCAATAACAGAATGATTTCTAAGGATATGTCATATTCTTTACAATATAAAGAGGTTGTATTGGATGACTGGTTTTCTTCAAATTAAACTTCAAAAAACGTTTTTTATTGATAAAACTTAAAGATTTAACTGAATTTCAGATTTCTTTAGTTGTTAACAGAGCAAAAAAAGATTTTTCCAGAATATATACAAAAATGTTTTGCTTTAGAGCAGTGGTTCTCAACTGAGGCCTGTACTACGAAGCTGGTTCTAACCTGCATGGATATGTTTGAGTTAGCCGGTTGGCCCAATCCAAAACATACGCGCTCTCGCTAAGCTGTACTACGACGCTGGTTATCAAGTGGATCGCTCAAGCCAGCCGTGTCCTATCTAGTTAGGTGCGCGTTCACATGAAAGGGGTGGTATTTGGAGCATTCGACCAATCTCAAACACGGAGAAGTGTACTGACAGCGCAGCGTCATACTTCCTGAATGAAAAGTGAACTTTAATATTAGTCAAATATGAAGAAGTTAAACTTTAAACATCCATGACTTAAACACTTTATCCAGGATAAAAGCCACATAGCTGCACCTGCAAGGTGAATACAGCTGGTAAAAGAAAAAGTGTTTGTGTCTGAAGATGGGAGGGGATATTCTATACATTTTCACATTCACACAGTCAGTTGATTTATGCCAGCCGTCTTTCCTGCAACGGCAGTTTTTCTGTATTTCCTCTATCCTGTAATATGACTTGATTGCTTTAAACTCCGCACACGGAGCTCTGATTATGCCATTGTTTGTGTTTCACTTTGTTCTGACAGCTTGCTGCTCCACACAGAGAGAAGAGTAAAGAGGAGATAGTCTGTGTGAATTACTTTAAATTGTGGGTAAGGGTAGATAGCTCCCATTGTTCTGTGACCTGTCAATCATCAAACCGGGGGTCATATTTCATTATGTGTTCATTGTTATCTGAAGTTGTACCCATGGATGTATAAAGAATAGTTCTACCGCAAAGTTATTCTCCGTGGGGACTTCCGGCAACAATCTTGATGC